AAGAAAAGAGAAGGAGGTAAGGTCATTACTGGATAGTGCCTGTTCCTTTAACCCCGCTATGTTTAGAGGGAAGAGCGAAAGCGCAAAAGAGAAGAGGAGCAGAAACGTCAGGAGGAGCTGGAGTATCAGAAATGGCAAGAAATGCAGAAGAAGAAAGAAGAGGAGTTGATGAAGGCAGAGGCTGAGCGTAGAGCCGCTGAAAGGAAGGCTGCAGAGGAGAGGAAGAAAGAAGCTGCTCAGGCAGCTCAAACTGTAGGTATTTACTGTTCTGTTGACGTTCTCGAAGTGGGTTACTGTGTCACCATTAGTAATGATTATAATTGTACAGTACTGAAAAGATGGACACTGGAGAAGAATTTAAAAGTTAAGCGTTTATACGAATAATATCACCATTGATATAGCAACACGCATCTTAATTGGTAATTTATTCAGTGCCCACTCTTTCTAGTACCAGACCTTAAGAATATTTCAATATGTGAATTTAGGTTTTTTACATGGAAAACTTTCATCATTTACAGGAGGCCAAGAAGGAGAAGGCGAAAAAGGAGAAGAAACAGGATGAAATCGAAAAAGTGGTCACCAACACCACTGTTAAAGTGGTGAGTAATTGGCCAGGAAAGTGAGAGTGGGTGAAAGTTCTGGGATTTGCATCGAAATCGTTTCTACTTGACCTTATACTCATGCATAAGAATAGATAGTTTAGGAGAAGACCACACCCAATGAGGCTCCTACTGTTCCGGAACCAAAACTATCTGAAGAGGTCTGTATTTTGATCTTTCCAATTTTTATATTTGCGAAATTGTAGAACTGAGCTAAAACGCAATTCAGTAACAATTACATTCTTTATTGTCGAATTGTCTCGTTCTTAAAATAGTCAGCTTTTGTTTCATTTTATCTATCATCTATTATCATTCTATCTTATTATGTGTCCTTACAGACCGAAAAGAAAAAGAAGAAGAAGGAAAAGGAGCCAGTTGTTGAGAAAAAAGAAAAAGAGAGCAGTGTTGATAAGGAGAAGGTGCCCCGCGCTGAGAAGAAGCAAAAAGAGTCTAGCGCTGTGAAGAAGGAGGAGAAAGCCACCGTTGAGAAGAAAGAGGAAAAACCCAAAGTTGAGAAGAAGGAAAAAGAGCATAGCTCTGAAAAGAAGCAGAAAGATTCTGGCATTGAAAAGAGGGAAGAGAAACACACAGTTGAGAAGAAAGAAGAGAAATCCGATGCTGAGAAGAAGAAAAAAGAGCAGAATGTTGAAAAGAGGCCAAAAGAATCTAGCATTGAGTTGAAGGAGGAGAAATCTAGCGCTGAGATGGAGACTAACGTTGGGGAAAAGGGAAGGGAACCCGTCACGGAAAAAGAGACCGCTCCTGTGAAAAAGGAACAGTCTGCGACTGAAACAGCTCCCATCCTTCTCGAAGGGGCGCAAGGACAGGAAGTGGTGAGTAGAACTATTACTGAATACGAAAATTTGCATATAGTTATGCATTGAATTTTTTTGGAAATTGCTAGAGATGAGGAAATTTCAAGGTCGTGATTATCTATAAGCTTGCGCATTTAGCACACGAAAAAGAAGGGATCTCGGGGGAAAAAGAACTTTGAAAGCGAGTCATCCGATCTTCATAATGGACACGAGGAAAAGTCTTTAAGCAGCGATTTGCAAGCTGACGGGGAACGTCGACAACATGCTGATGAACCTCGTGAGGTGAGGAGAAACTCAGAATAAATTTTTCAACAAGAAGGGAAGGTCTCAAGCAAACCAGGCATTTCTAAACCGTTATTTGGCTTCTGCTGCCATTCTCACTCTTTTGCATCTCATTGCTTTGCTTCAACAATCCAATAATA